TGTATGTGTGTGTTACTGTGTGTGTGTATGTGTATATGTGTGTGTTACTGTGTGTGTGCATGTGTATATGTGTGTGTTACTGTGTGTGTGTCTGTGTATATGTGTGTGTTACTGTGTGTGTGTGGGTTTCTGTGTGTGTGTCTGTTTGTGTGTTTCTGTGTGTGTGTGTGTGGGTGTGTGTGTGTGTTTTAGGGGTGGGAACCTAAGGGTAACTCACGATACGATACACGATACAAAGCTCACGATAACGATTTTATCACGATATGACGATTATCGATTTATTGGTCAGAAATATACCATATGCTAATTTATGGCATAAATAAAAGAAAAATATTAAAGCTGCACTACCTGACTTTATTGTTGTATTCATGAGTTAAAGTCTATCCATGTCCATGTAGTGCATTGGGATAAACGTCCTTTTAAAGAAAAAGTAGCACAGATTTGTGCTGACGTGACATATTTTAGATCGAGTTTTGATGAAACAAGGAAGAGAATGTGTTTCGGTACCAGATTGTGACCAATCACAGGGGACCACTGGCCCCCACTTTTGTGAGAAATCTACAGGTCCGTTAGCACAGACGGCAGAGTTAGCACAACAAGCGGCGGAGCTAACCTGAAGCTTCCTCGTCTTCGTCACCGGTTCCTGCTTACACAGCGAGACAGCCAAAAGAAAGTCCCGTTCCTCTGCGCTTCCTGGTTCTATCGTTCTATGGTCACGCCATCCACGTGCAAATCCATATCCATGTATTATCCATATTGAGAGACGCTAGCTCCGTCAACAACAGTGGGTGTGTGTGGGGGCGATAGCTTCGTGGGTGCGGGGAGGGGAGCAGAAAGAAAGAGGCTCCTTTCCATTGGTGAAAAAATACACTTTATTTCATGATAAATGGAATGGAGATGTGTAATGTAGCCATATATTAAGTATTGATACTAATAAAAAAAAAAAAACAATATCGATACTTGGCAAATGCATATCGATAATCGAATCGCGGGAGAAAGTATCGCAATATATCGATATCGCAATATATCGTCACACCCCTAGTGTGTGTGGGTGTGTGTGTGTGTGTGCATTTGTGTGTCTGTGTGCGTGTGCGTGAGTGTCTGTGTGTGTGTGTGTGTGTCTGTGTGTGTGGGTGCGTGCATTTGTGTGTCTGTGTGTGTCTGTGCGTGCATTTGTGTGTCTGTGCGTGTGTGTCTGTGCGTGTGTGTGTCTGTGCATGTGTGTGTGTGTGTCTGTGTGTGTCTGTGCGTGTGTGTGTCTGTATGTTTGTGCGTGTGTGTGTCTGTGTGTGTGTCTGTGTGTGTGGGTGCGTGCATTTGTGTGTCTGTGTGTGTCTGTGCGTGCATTTGTGTGTGTGTGTGTCTGTGCGTGTGTGTGTCTGTGCATGTGTGTGTGTGTCTGTGTGTGTCTGTGCGTGTGTGTGTCTGTATGTTTGTGCGTGTGTGTGTCTGTGTGTGTGTCTGTGCATGTGTGTGTCTGTGTGTGTGTGTGCGTGTGTCTGTGCATGTGTGTGTCTGTGCATGTGTGTCTGTGTGTGTGTCTGTGCGTAAAACTTCGAAGCATATTCTGGAGAATCCGTCAGGCGATTCATAAGAGAAGATTCTACAGAGGGCACTGATTGGAAGTTGCCCGACTAATCCGTCAAAGAAGCGTCAAAGAAGGCAGGAAAGCTGGCAGAACTTAGAGACTTTTTCATCCCATCCAATTGTCTGCATGTAATTGAGGTGGTCAAGCAGGTCTCTGGCTATAGGGAAACAAACCTCTATAAGACGCCGTTCTTAGCCCTCAAACTCGGCCACAGCCTGAAGAAAATTGCAGATATAATAGAGTGTGATGCTAAAATGTCAACGAATGTGGATGAAACTTTGATAAAAAACCTCCGGAGAAGCCGTAAGCCTCATTCACCTCCTTCTCCATGATGTAGTTATGGAGTTTGGATGTTCTTTCTTTACGGCTTACGTACAGTCTCAGGGTGCTGGATTTGGGATGGAACCCGCCATGCATGGTAAGGAGCTTTGAGTTTTAACATCCGTGGTCTGAATCAATCTAACCCATGATCACTCTGGATGAACTGCAGATGACTACAGCTGAGGTGGGAGAGTCTGTCCATAGGACAACAATCAGTCGTGCACTGCACAAATCTGGCCTTTATGGAAGAGTGGCAAGAAGAAAGCCATTTCTCAAAGATATCCATAAAAAGTCTCGTTTAAAGTTTGCCACAAGCCACCTGGGAGACACACCAAACATGTGGAAGAAGGTGCTCTGGTCAGATGAAACCAAAATTGAACTTTTTGGCCACAATGCAAAACGATATGTTTGGCGTAAAAGCAACACAGCTCATCACCCTGAACACACCATCCCCACTGTCAAACATGGTGGTGGCAGCATCATGCTTTGGGTCTGCTTTTCTTCAGCAGGGACAGGGAAGATGGCTAAAATGGATGGGAAGATGGATGGAGCCAAATACAGGACCATTCTGGAAGAAAACCTGTTGGAGTCTGCAAAAGACCTGAGACTGGGACGGAGATTTATCTTCCAACAGGACAATGATCCAAAACATAAAGCCAAATCTACAATGGAATGGTTCACAAATAGACGTTTCCAGGTGTTAGAATGGCCAAGTCAAAGTCCAGACCTGAATCCAATCGAGAATCTGTGGAAAGAGCTGAAGACTGCTGTTCACAAACGCTCTCCATCCAACCTCACTGAGCTCCAGCTGTTTTGCAAGGAAGAATGGGAAAGAATTCCAGTCTCTCGATGTGCAAAACTGATAGAGACATACCCCAAGCGACTTGCAGCTGTAATTGCAGCAAAAGGTGGCGCTACAAAGTATTAGCGCAAGGGGCCGAATAATATTGCAAGCCCCACTTTTCAGTTTTTTATTTTTTTAAAAAGTTTAAATTATCCAATAAATTCCGTTCCACTTCACGATTGTGTCCCACTTGTTGATTCTTGACAAAAAAATTATTTTTTATATCTTTATGTTGAAAGCCTGTGGCAAAATGTTGAAAGGTTCAAGGGGGCTGTATGCTAACATTAGCATTAGCACAATGTCTTGTAAGCTGTACAACAATCACTGATGAAATGGTACAAAAGCAACGCACTGATAACAAAATATATAACTGAAAGATTACCGCTAGTTTCACGTCCAAATGTAGTCCGAGCGTAGATAGTCCGAGCGTAGATAGTACGAGCGTAGATAGTCCGAGCATAGATCGTAGATAGTCAGAGCGTAGATAGTCCGAGCATAGATCGTAGATAGTCAGAGCGTAGATAGTCTGAGCATAGATCGTAGATAGTCAGAGCGTAGAATCCGTAGATAGTCCGAGCATAGATCGTAGATAGTCAGAGCATTGATAGTCCGAGCATAGATAGTCAGAGCGTAGATAGTCAGAGCGTAGATAGTCCGAGGCAGTCCGGCTCCCGCAGGTTGTTGGAACAATAGAAGGCCTTTTGCACCTGCTAAACTAAATCTGTTTGCTAAATTAGTATCTTAGAAAACTTCAGGAAGTTTTGGGACATATGTTTTGATGTTTAATGAAAACGGGGCGCAAGGTCTAAAAAGCACTTGTTTATCAAAAGTCTGTCTTATCAACAGGAGTTGGGCTGGGATACTCGCCCGGAGAACTCAGTGACTTCTGTGAGGAGTCCGAGAGTCCACATGAGCCTGTGATGTCAGTGACCTTGGATGTACAGTGTATATGATGTACAGTGTATATGATGTACAGTGTATATGATGTACAGTGTATATGATGTACAGTGTATATGATGTACAGTGTATATGATGTACAGTGTATATGATGTACAGTGTACATGATGTACAGTGTATATGATGTACAGTGTACATGATGTACAGTGTACATGATGTACAGTGTATATGATGTACAGTGTACATGATGTACAGTGTACATGATGTACAGTGTACATGATGTACAGTGTACATGATGTACAGTGTATATGATGTACAGTGTATATGATGTACAGTGTATATGATGTGCAGTGTATATGATGTACAGTGTATATGATGTGCAGTGTATATGATGTACAGGAGCGGTCCCCAGGGCTTTTATGACCAGGAGGGTGGGAGACGTCTCTGGGGCCGCTCCTTCTCTTCAACACGAAGCGAGGCTTGTTCGCCGAGCGTTACATTTGTACTCTTCAATATAACATCTAAAATCAGCTTTGGTGTCTGTCATTGATATTATTATTTTTAACATTGGTATTGTCTCTTGTTGAACAAAAGAACGTGCAGGAGGAACGGGCCGTGGTGCAGCGGCGTTTCTGCTGCGTCCAGAGCAGGGGAACATCTGACAGATTTACGGCAAGGTCTCTCCAGAGGATACGATGTAAGATAATGCTACGTATATTCACCCGAGGTTGATTTCTTCATTGATCATGTTTTCGCTTTAGTTCCCTCTTCTCTTCCTCACTGTTGCGTCCTTTGGGCTGTTTTGCTGAGTCTGCAGTTTCAGCTAGAGGTGTTATTGCCACTTTCAGCTAACATGCTGCTGTGTTTACCTGTAGACGCTAGAGGAGGCGTGGCCTGTTTGTAACAGAGCTTCTCATTCTGTGAGTGAACTAGAAATGAGGAGAACTCCTCATTTTTTCCCTGTTGACAAAGTGCTCCTTATTTCAGTCGCTGTAAAACTATAAAAGAAATGCTTAAGATTTAAATCTAGAAAACTAAAATCAAAAAGAAGTAACTGACAGTTTTAAGACAATAAAAAAACAATTGTATTTATTTTTTATTGTTATTTTTATTTGATTTTTGATGTAGTGTGTTAGTTTAGTCTTGGGGAGAAGCCAATGGCTGTTGGCGATGGTTTGTTTTCTTCAAAATGTCTGTGCTTTTTCTTTTGCTTTCACCCTCTCGTTTGAATTCAAGAAAAATCCAAACACGAGGGGTTGGAGCAATGCTTGTCGGTTAGCTGCTTGCTAAAGGTGCTAAAAGTTTTGCTCACTTTTCCCCCGTTTATCAAGCTAACCTCATCCAAACCCCTTAGTAGCTAGCATTGGGGGTCTTGTAGCTAGCATTGGGGTGTTCTGAGGGTGTTATCTCTTCAATGTTGGGGCAGCAGCAGCATTGGACGAGCTTACAGAGACCTCTGGACACGCGGCTCAGAAAAGATTTATTCCGCAGGTTGTGCTCGAAGTGGTACTGCAGGGACTTCAAAACCGTCTCGTCAAAAGTCCGGTCTTTTCCGTCCAAAGCACTTTCCAACATTCTCTGTGCTGTGCCGTACTGAGATTTCAGGTCTTTCACAATCGCGACAATGATTTTACTCATTCCCTTCTCCACTTCCTGCTCGATCAGGGTGGTGAGCTCCTGCGAGTCCTGGTGTTTGTCCAACGAGTCCGTGGACAGATTCAGAGCCTGAGAGAACACTTGCCCCATGGTGTCCTGCAGCACAGTGACGATAGATCCGTGAGCTCGGGTCGACTCGCTCTCACTCAAGAACTTGTGGTTCACTTCGCTTCTCGGAACAATCAGTCCCAAGACGTTGGCGGACAGCGTTTGGACCAGCGAGATAAACATGGCGGTCAGAATGCGCCTGGTCTCCAAGTCGCACATGCCTTTGGACAACATCACCCACTGAAGGCCACCGATCTGCTCAAAGTGGCTCCTCACGATCTGCAGCGACGCCTCCGTCGAGACCGAAATCTCACTGAAGTGATCCATTCTCTACAGATGAGTCTATGCAATAAAGAGGGTTTTTGCGACACCAAATTCCATGGCACTTGGCTGACTTCCTTTGACCTGACCCACACACACGTCCCACACACACGCTTTCCGGCAGAGAATCTCGATGACCTCATCAGAATGGCATAAAGGCTCCATGGCAACCATCTGTTGCCATGGAGACGAGTGAGTTGACTGTGGAGCTGTGAAGTGGGCGGGGCTTTCAGGTTCCGCAAATGAAATTCCAGAACTCTTAAGTGTGTTTGGTGGTTGCCCTGACAACACATCTACAACACAAAAATAAAACACACAAAGCTCTAACTGCAGTTGTTTATTCTGCATTGATACAGTTCATGATTATTAAGGAGGAGTTTGGAAACACAGTGTTTATATATTATATATTTGGTTAAAGAATGTTTTTTAAGATGATGCCACACAAATACAAGTGCTCAGTGATGGAGGCAGAGGGAGCATGTTTCAGTGTGCCCCAGGGCAGCTGTGGCTACAGTAGTAGTTTATCCCCACTGTGTATGAAGTGAAAGAATAATGCCATGTCTTTGAGGGTCCAAAATTCTGTTTTCTCGTCAAACCGATGCATTATCACATGCACTAACCAGGCCCTGCCCTGCTTAGCTTCAGAGGTCTGACAGGATCTGGCTTTCAACTGCAGGTGGCGCTATCTCTCTGAATGGTATCTGAAATCATCTCTGTAACAACTCATGGCTCAAGCTGTGTACTACATTATCACAACTTTTGTTTGTTACAGGGCTAAGAATGGGACATTTCAAAGAGTCTGAGATGTATAGTGCCAGCCTACATGGCTGTCATTAAAGTCTGGAGTTTGTCAGAAGAAAGAGAGAGAGGTTCATGATTTGAAAAAAACGACCCAAGCTCCTCCTCCTTCCTTTCTGACTGGACTTGAAACTGTGCCTACTTTTCCGTGCATGTGCCAGGTCAATGGTCCAAGATTATGATATTATTCAGCCCCTTTGTGCTAATACTTTGTAGCACCACCTTTTGCTACAATTACAGCTGCAAGTCGCTTGGGGTAGGTCTCTATCAGTTTTGCACATCGAGAGACTGGAATTCTTGCCCATTCTTCCTTGCAAAACAGCTGGAGCTCAGTGAGGTTGGATGGAGAGCGTTTGTGAACAGCAGTCTTCAGCTCTTTCCACAGATTCTCGATTGGATTCAGGTCTGGACTTTGACTTGGCCATTCTAACACCTGGATACGTCTATTTGTGAACCATTCCATTGTAGATTTGGCTTTATGTTTTGGATCATTGTCCTGTTGGAAGATAAATCTCCGTCCCAGTCTCAGGTCTTTTGCAGACTCCAACAGGTTTTCTTCCAGAATGGTCCTGTATTTGGCTCCATCCATCTTCCCATCAATTTTAGCCATCTTCCCTGTCCCTGCTGAAGAAAAGCAGGCCCAAAGCATGATGCTGCCACCACCATGTTTGACAGTGGGGATGGTGTGTTCAGGGTGATGAGCTGTGTTGCTTTTACGCCAAACATATCGTTTTGCATTGTGGCCAAAAAGTTCAATTTTGGTTTCATCTGACCAGAGCACCTTCTTCCACATGTTTGGTGCGTCTCCCAGGTGGCTTGTGGCAAACTTTAAACGAGACTTTTTATGGATATCTTTGAGAAATGGCTTTCTTCTTGCCACTCTTCCATAAAGGCCAGATTTGTGCAGTGCACGACTGATTGTTGTCCTATGGACAGACTCTCCCACCTCAGCTGTAGTTATCTGCAGTTCATCCAGAGTGATCATGGGCCTCTTGGCTGCATCTCTGATCAGTCTTCTCCTTGTTTGAGATGAAAGTTTGGAGGGACGGCCGGGTCTTGGTAGATTTGCAGTGGTCTGATACTCCTTCCATTTCAATATAATTGCTTGCACAGTGCTCCTTGAGATGTTTAAAGCATGGGAAATCTTTTTGTATCCAAATCCGGCTTTAAACTTCTCCACAACAGTATCTCGGACCTGCCTGGTGTGTTCCTTTGTCTTCATGGTTCTCTCTGCGCTTTAAACAGAACCCTGAGACTATCAAAGAGCAGATTTATACGGAGACTTGATTACACACAGGTGCATTCTATTTATCATCATCAGTCATTTAGGACAACATTGGATCATTCAAAGATCCTCACTGAACTTCTGGACTGAGTTTGCTGCACTGAAAGTAAAGGGGCCGAATAATATTGCACGCCCCACTTTTCAGTTTTTTATTTGTTAAAAAAGTTTAAATTATCCAATAAATTTCGTTCCACTTCACGATTGTGTCTCACTTGTTGTTGATTCTTGACAAAACATTTAATTTTTATATCTTTATGTTTGAAGCCTGAAATGTGGCGAAATGTTGAAAGGTTCAAGGGGGCCGAATACTTTCGCAAGGCACTAAGTGTGTCTGAAACAGTTTGTGTTTTACAATTTTTATTTTTACTTTTCTGCCTGCGAATTTACACTGGTCCAGACCAGAGCAGAGCTGCTGTGACCTGAATAGTTTGTCCATGTTGTGATCTGTGGTCACGAAGGACTGAGGAGTGAGTTGTTTGGAAACACAGCGGACCCTAAGCAGCAGACCAGAGACCAGAGAGAGACCAGAGAGAGAGACCAGAGAAAGACCAGAGAAAGACCAGAGAGAGACCAGAGAGAGACCAGAGAGAGAGACTAGAGAGAGAGACCAGAGAGAAACCAGAGAGAGGCCAGAGAAAGACCAGAGAGAGGCCAGAGATAGAGACCAGAGAGAGGCCAGAGAGAGAGACCAGAGAGAGACCAGAGAGAGAAACCAGAGAAAGACCAGAGAGAGACCAGAGAGAGAAACCAGAGAGAGACCAGAGAAAGACCAGAGAGAGGCCAGAGAGAGAAACCAGAGAGAGAAACCAGAGAAAGACCAGAGAGAGGCCAGAGAGAGAGACTGGAGAGAGAGACCAGAGAGAGAACCTATAGAGAGAGAGAGACCAGAGAGAGACCAGAGAGAGAGTTTACTCCTCACATCTTCTCAACAATGCAGTGTGTAAAAAACCCAGGGCTGCAGCTGTTCCGGTCACATCTGCAGGAGCTGACCGCAATGGACCAGTGGATGCAGGACCTGGTGGAGAGGCTTCGGCAGAGACTGAAGCCGCAGGGAGGAAGACTGGAGCCTCTGAGTCCAGCTTCAAGTCTGCTCCTCTTCTATTCACAACAACTCTTCTAGATCTGTCCAACTGTAGGAAAACGATGTCATTGACTTCTTGTGACATCACCTAACTTAGCACGTCAGAGTCTGGGTTAACATCAGTCCCATCAGAGGACCATTGAACTGGACATGGAGACTGCAAAGCTCTTGTCTTCCTCTTGTACCTATATTTATTGATCTCAGTCCAGTCTTGTAAACATTTCTCTCTCTACAGATGCAGTTGAACCTGTAGCTCCTCATTCAACACCAGAGCAGAACCTTGTGCTCAGACCCAATGACGACGAGGACCAGAACAAGTCCTCGAGGAAGATCAAAGAGGAACCTGGAGCAGACTGCGTTCAAGCGACAGACATGGTTCTCTAGGAGGATGCTCCAAACCCTGAATCTGAAGGACATGGACCAACAACGGACTCAACATCTGACAGAGGCAGAAGCGACAGAGAAAGGCAGCGTGCAGAGAGGAGGTCCCTCTGTGAAGTCTGCGGGGAATAGTTCACACGTCACGAAAGTGTCCACTTTTGAGAAAGACCTTATCTCTGAGAGGCCTGTCCGAAGTCCTTCTATCAGAGCGGTGATCTTAAGAACCACAAACTGATCCACGCTGGAGAAAGACCTTATCTCTGTGACGCCTGTCCGAAGCCCTTCCTTCCAACAGAGAGCGGAGAGACTCATGAAGACGTCACTCCACCCGAGACTTTGACACTTCCTTTGATGATTGAATAAATGGTAGTCGTTTTCAAGTGCAGTTCTCTTCCATTCCTGAAGGTGACATGTTCTGTTCTTATAAGAGCTGCTAAAACATCAGAGATAGAAAGATACTTTATTGGTCCTTAGAGACGCAGGTGTCCCTCAGAAACACATCTCTCTAGACCAGACCAGAGACCAGAGAGCGAGACCAGAGGGACCTGGGAGAGACCAGAGACCAGAGAGATAGACCAGAGACCAGAGAGACCCGTGAGCAGTGTTGGGTAAGTTACTTTGAAAATGTAATTAGTTACAAATTAGTAGTTACTTCTAAAAAAAGTAACTAGTTACATTACTTAGTTACCGCCCCAAGAAAGTAACTAAGTTACATTACTTTTGGATTACTTCGGGTCACAAAAAAGAGAACAGAATCAAGTTTGTATGTTTTATTAAAGCCATTTAAATTAACTCACTGACTGCCAGGCATTTTCAGATTTGAGAAGTGCGTTCTGCCAGCAATTTCAGGTGATTTGACCCAACTTTGAAGTGCCACAGAATATTCATTTTTTAGACGATGTAAACACCAAGGGCACCAAATTAAAGATTAACCTCTTAGCTTTACTCGGAAAAATACAGTTTGTTTCTACCTCTTACCGTTCTTGAGCTATTCGCCATAGAACAAAGCATACTTTCACCCATAACACCTGGTCTGAGTAAGAAAACAGAGAAAAGGAGCTGTATGTAAACAAGAACATATCAAGCAGAAAAGAGACTTTAGATGCATTTTTGCTGCTTTAGTGACAACTCAAAACATCTTCACACTTGTTCCATTACAAAAATTATAAAAACATGACTCTGAAATAATACTTTTGATGGCAAATTGTTGGCAATTTATTCACAGATAGAAAATTTTACTTTCTTCTATTCCATCAACCAAAACGTCAAACAACAACAACACAAAGATCAATAAAACTATAGCTGTATAAAATAGAATGAAGCATGTGAATTTGAGTGTGTGTGTGTGAATGTCAGTGTGCGAGTGAGTGCGTGTGTGAGTGAGTGTCTGTGTGTGTGTCTGTGTGCGTGTGAGTGTTCGTGAGTGTGTGTATGAGTGAGTTTATCTGATTTTTCAGTCCT